GTCCTCCTGACCCCCACCCTGCAGATATTTAGAGGCATTTCTAAGGTCCCCTCTCAGCCTTCTCTTCTCCAGGCTGAACAAGCCCAGCTCCCTCAGCCTCTCCTCGTAGGAGAGATGCTCCAGTTCGCTCCTCATCCTTGTAGCCCCCCGCTGGACCCTCTCCAGTCCAGTCCTCATCTTTCTTGAACTGGGGAGCCCAGAACTGGACCTGCGTTGGCAGGGATGCGGTAACCAGCACTGGCACGGCGCCCATTTCCCTCACCCACGGTGAGGCGACGGCCGCCGAGAGGCCTGGCGTGAGGGAACGCTCCTCTGCTGGGGCACGTAAAGTCTAAAACTCTGCTTTCGAAATGACAACTTTTTACAGCCAGTGGTCCCATGGGTGACCGTGGGGCGTTTCGCAGGGAAGCAGCGGGCGTGGGCTCCGGCAGAGCGGGACGTTGCTGTGAGCAAGAGCCGTGACTGGAAGAAGGTGACACCACAGCTGCCACCCAGCCGCCCATCGCCCGTCACGGCGAGGGCGCGCTCCACGCACAGGGCCGAGCTGCTTTGCCAGTCCGTCGGGAAAGGACGCAGGAAGCACCGCGCCCGCCGCTTTTGCCGCTGATGTTTGTGACCACCATTTGCCTTACCTGCTGCGCCGGCAATAAAAAGCCTGTGCGACGCCGAGGATATTTTCCTTAATGGAAACGGCCATTTGGAGGGCTCTCCTTTCACTCCCTGTGGTCTTTTCAAGATGCTGTATTGCTCACAGCGTACTGAGAGTCGGAGGGGTGAAGGCGCATAAGCTGAACAGTTTAATTCTTGTCCTTATTCCTAATCACACAAGAACCACATCATCTGCCTGGAAATACTCAGGCGTGCCTTGCCGCTGTGGCTGAAGGAACAGGACAGTGCTCCTCAGAGGCAGCGCGGGGTGGTTTTATACAATGGAGAAAAATGCTTTTTCTCCCCCTGACCTCCCAGCCAGCTCCTCGGCTCCGTTCGGCAGAGCTGTTTGTTTCTACTCCTGTTACCGGTTTTTCAATGGCCGGGCCTCCCACGGAGACAAGATCTGCAACCTCTCAAGCCTGGCACAGATGGGAAGCGCAGCTTTGAACTGAGTTGTGCTCTTTTGAGGGGGGAGGGTCTGTTGTTGTTTGGTTTTTTTAAAAAAAACAACCAGATAAGCCCTGGAGGATAAGGAGAACAGCATTAACAAACAATTACAGGAGTTGACTCTCATTAAATCCGTTGTCACTGCAGTCTCCAGTCCCACACCAGTCGGTTACTCCCTGTGAGACTGGTGCTGTCTTTAACAGCCCTGACCCCTGATGCTAAGCTGCTTCCCTGGGTTTGGAGTCTGACCAAGCGCCATAGTAAGAGCACATCACCAAAGCTTCTTGTCGTGTGCAGCAAACATGAAAAGAGATCAGAGGCTGGAATTCAAAGGTTTTATATATCCCTCTCCATAGTTCCTTCTGGAATTATTTGTTAGACTACCTCATGGCCACAGATACAGGGAAGGAAACTTCAAAAATTTAGTTCAAACTAAGAAGAGGTTAAATGATAAAGCAGCTGTGTTGTCACCTTTTAAAAACCCTTCACAAGCCACATCCTAATGGAAATCCTACAGATTGTGGAGTTTGCTTTCCGCAGGTCAATACAACAATTTGCTGTAATTTAGAAAAATCTCCAGGGCTTTTCTGAACTTCATCGAGGGTAAACAGGGCTAAGAGGCAAGATGTGAGGGAACAAACTTGGTTTACATTCGCCTACGCTTCACCTCTGCTTGCCACAAATGTAGCAAGCGGTTCCGAGATTTTTCTCTCAGTTTTGCAGTGGACTTTTGTGATAAATCCTCCTATGACTCATTTACCAAACAGAGGGGAAAAGTCCAGGTAGAATTATATTTATTACAGGAAAAAAAACATCATAACTGTACAATTATGCTCAGTTTAGGAAAGCTGTTTCTACTTCCCAGATGTAGGAACAGGAGCAGCTATAATTACTCATGGGTAGCGGATTATCGCTGAGTCTGAATTTGTAGCCTGGGGTTAAAAGTCAGCTTTGAGTTTTGCTTTGGAGGATGTGAGGGCCGATCCCGGCTCCCTGGCTGTCTCCCTGTTATGTCCAAGCACCACAGCATCGGCTGCCCTAGCCCTTCACTGCACAATGCATCAAATCACGTGCCTCGGGTTTTTTTTTTCTTCCTTCTTTTTTTTTTAAAAAGGCACAGCTACCTGGTTTCCAGCTCCCGGCGTGGTCTGCCTCTGCCCAGAGCTGCTTCCCCTCTGCCCCACACTGGTTTCCAATGCCGAGGTGGGAGCAGCAGGGACTTCACAGCTCGCTGCCCACCGTGCTCTGCGAAGAGCAGCCTCGCCCCTGAGAGGACCCACGAATGAAAGTAATAAGGAAGCACTAACAGCTGATCTCACTCGAGGAAAAGCTGCTTTTTTTAGGATCTCGGGATTCACAGTTTTGCCCTGAAGTCAGCAGAGAAAACGAGGACATAGCAACAAATTGTCAGACAAGCAATGCTCAGCTAATAAGTTTTTGTACCACACTCCTCTCCCTAGCATTTCATTGGCAAGGAATGACCCAGAAAGAAAGAAAATCTGTAAAACGCTTCACTTCAAATAAATATTGGGACTGTGGGAGGTTAAACAAAGGTCAAGTGCTTGGTATAGAAAACATGTCACAATGAACATAGGAAATTAAATTGTTATTCTGAAAATATTTACAAAATAAATAACAATACACTCTCATATACTCAGCACGTGTTTCAAAAATAAAACAAGAATTTCAGTTCCTAGCACAGTATGGTCCGCCTTTTCAAATTTCATGTTAAAGTTTTGCTTTCATCTAATTTTAGATATTTATAGAACCACCAGAAAAAACAGCATAGTTTTTTCCTCTTCAAGTGAATGTTGTCTTCTGAAAATTTGGATTACTGACATGTTAATTTATATTCTTTGACATACCAAATGATTCCCCCCCCTCCAGAGAACCTTTAGTTGTTCTGACCTTTCCGGCTTTTTAAGATCAGCCATAACAAATTACCTTTTATATCCGTAACAATGCAACCCATTAATCAAGATGAAAGATTTTTAAAACGCAAATTATACACCAAAGTAGTCTAAGAACAGAATTCAAACCAAATGCTTGTCTGTAAACACCTACCACAAGCTTTGTACAGGTCTGACATGGAGTTTTCCAACCAACGTGGGCTACGTAGCAATGCCCCGTAACGGAGAAGCACATCAGGCCGTCCTTTGTGAACTACCACTCTGCACCTCTTAGAAACGGGACTGTTGACTCCTTCGCCTTGTTGGTTACCATGGCTGTGTAGGCATTCAGCGAGTGGAAAACTGGACAACTCAGTCAGGACATTACTGTGGAGAAGTTCAGCTTCAGAACACTTTAATTTGTGGCCTGCACACTACTACTAGATTTCAATCCCATACGGGTTAGAAATACAGCTTTTCTGTTCAAGACAGGGAGCCTCAAAATTATGGCACTGTGTTTCATCAGAAACTTCTACTTTATGTAAAGCGCGTAACATCGGTAACGGGCACTCCTCCAAGCAAGTCTCCCTTTCTACCTTTAAATGGAGCTTCTAAACCAGCGCGCAAATTGTTTCAGTGTCTGTACAAGTTTATTGTTGCTTATACGATCTCTAATTCTTTCAGAGTAGCTTTCTTCTTCCCAGATTCCTTTATTTTTCTTCAAGGCCTTTAACTCTGCTCGAAGCAGTCTTTTGTGAAGTTTCAAGTACAGGCGGGAATCGTGATGGAGTCCTTCAATACGCGCTGTTCTGCCAAGCCCTTGTCTCAGGAGCTCTTCGTTTAAGCACACGCTGCGAAATCGACCCTATAAAAAGGCACCGTAACCGAGACATTCACTGCACCTTTGGAACAGCTTGGTTGGGTTTTTTTCCTGTGAACTCCCTCGGAGTTACGAGCTTTGCTTCTGGCTAAATCTGCTCTCTGGCAGAAAGAGTTACAAGTGAAGAGGAATCCAGCTGGTCATTAAAACATGATACTGACCCAAGACACTTGTGAGAGAACATCTGATGGACAAACCATCAGGGTAATCAGAACTACATGACAGAGAAACACACTCGTGTCATGAATCAGTCTGCAAAAACACTGGTCTTGAAATCAGATCCACAAACACAACACTTAAAATTCACGTCAAGATAGAGAAATCATAAGCAATAACATTCCTTAAATGGACCGAGATACGGGAATTGTGCAACTACAGTCGAACTGAAAACTGCAGAGAAAAGTCAATTTTTGTCACTCTATTTACCTTATTTACTAAAACGAGGCACTCGAGTGCCAAGTCCTCCCTTCCCAGAAGTTGGAACCAGACCATCTGCTCGGGTTTTAACTCCTGCCGTAACCAGGCCATGCCGCTCGGAGCCAGCTCCACTCCAGCAAGCCTTACCAGCAGAAGACCTTTCAATTGCCCTGATTACAGAAAGAGAGAGCTTCGTTACTGAATGCAGCAAAGGAAATGTCATGCTTCGCAGAGATGCTCAGCTGTCGGTAATGGATTTATTGCCATGGACTTAAAAAAAATGCAAAATAATCCACTTTAGCTCCCCAGAGCACTACTTATTCACAAGTAAGAATTTGGTCTCATTGCTCTTTCAGTAAAAAAAATAATTCAAGATTGCATAAGTAGTTTAAGCTAATTTGTTTTATTTTGCATACAAAGTACTGCTTTCTTTAGCAGTCACTATCATTTTATGCGAAGGGGCAGAAACAACAGGCAAGAAGCATCAGCGCCTGCAGGTATCTGCAAGCAGAGCACCAACGCCTGCAGGCATCTGCAAAGCAAGCGTGTGACTCTCAGACAGGACGAACGACTCCTGCGAGGCCACAGAAGAACTGCCCACAGGAAGGGGTTTGTATACGAAGCTGTCCGATCCTCCTCTGCAAATAAAAACGCAGCCCCAACAGAGTCCTTTTGCCAGGAAGGGGATGAGCTAGGCAAGCAAATGAGCTGCCTGTGTGTCAGCTTCCGCTGCCAGAAAAATATCACACTAACGATGCTAACGAACACAAATACTGTCTCGGCAGGCTCTTCTCGCAGGCCTCACTGCAGCCGTTTACTCCCCAGTTGCCCACCTGCACAATCAAAGAGGAAAGACCAAAAGGCAGCGCCAGAATGGTACCTCAGCCTTTCCTCCCAGGCTTGCCACCGCCCGCTCTGACAGCGACGACGACGTTTCATCCCCACCCTCGCTCCTCACGCTCCTTTACTTACATTTTCTCTGTATCGACGCAATGAGCGGAATGCTAATGGGAACGTGCTCGACTTCCAGGCCTTTCTCCGTTACGCCATGTAATTTCCCCCGCAATTTCACCTTTTTTTCTACAAACTCCACAGGTATATCCAAAGCACTGGTAAACTTTGTTGTCTATTGATGGAAAGAAGGCCAAGACAAAGGTTTTCAAAAAAGATGTAGAGCAGCTACAATCACATTAAATCCAACTTCTTCTTAAAATAGTTTGGCAAATTACAGATCTGTTATTAGACAGCACGGACAAGTATATATCTATATATTTCATAGTAACCAGCTGCAGAAGCCATTACGCGCCAGCCTTCCCAGACACTTCAGACGTTCCCTGTTTCGCAGGATCTGCGCTATCAGGGGTGGGCACGGAAGCAAGGTTTGGAGGAAGAACAGAACCTGGCATTTTTTGAGCTGTGCACGTCGAAGCCCACCTGATTCACCGTCAGAATTGTTTCAGAAGTGGCCTGAACGGCGCTGGAACAGGGGCGAAGGGAAGCCCAGGGGTGTTTCCAGACGCTAGCCAAGGGCAGATGCAGTGACAGCACAGGCGGAGTGGGGAGGAGAGAAACACCACAGGCTTTGACCAGGGAGCAGAAGGGGAGAGGGACACAAGCAGGCGTACACCTTCCAAAAGGTCACTAGAAGATTAAACCTGGTACCACAGCCGTCGATTAACGGGAGGACTAAAAGGGACGCACACGCGGTCGCACAGGAAAAGCGAGCCCAGCGGCAGCGTAGGCAGGAAGCGGCCGGTGGTTTTGGGGTGCAGGCAGGAGGGCAGGCACGGGGCTGGCGAAACCCCCGGGATTCGGCCCTCACGTCCGGAGCTGTCAGCGCGGGAAGGCCTCGGAGGAACGCTGACCTCCTCCCGCAGCACTGCCCGCAGCGCCCAGCGGCGGGGGCGCCCCGGGCTTTTCCCGGGGCGGGGGGTGCGCGGG